TCATTTTTCCCATATCATTTTTGTTTCCATGTTTTTCAAGTGATCACAAAGCTCTGGTGGAGGTGATGAAAGGCTGACTTTACTTCTTGAACCTCTCCTGGACTTCATCAGTTGCCCCATGGACCTCAAAGCCCACCCAGTTTCATCCTTGCCCTGGGCAGGGACACCCTCCACTACCCCAGGTTGCTCAGGAAGGCAAAGCAAGTTTTTCTTCTTTATTTATTCAGCTCCTCTGCTACTTGAGAACGTTTATTTTCGTGAGTAATGTCTCCTGCAGCCGTATGGAAGGAATCAATCATAGGAAATAAAGAGCTTGTAATCCATTTAACTAGGACTTTCCACCTCTCATTAAGCCACAGACATTCATGCCTAATTCTCTGGGTAGCAGTTGCACAGCAGATGTGCAGGGTATCGATTGGAAAATTACTCTTGCTGGGTTTGTTTTCCTTTTCCTTTCTTTCTTTCTTTCCCTCCCATGCTGTTTCCATTCCAGTGCCTGCAGAGGGTGTGGACGCACTTGGCTCCCTCTCAGATGAGCCTTCCTGGGGCAGTTGGTGCAGTTTTCCTTCCCTGCTGGCAGCTGCCAGGTTTTCAGCAGGGAATGTGTGGGACAGGCTCCTGCTCCACTGGCACCATCCACGGGCAATTCTTGGGGCTGTGTCTGGAAAGGAGAGGGAGGAATGCTTGTCTGAAGGGGAGGCTGCTTCTCAGGATGTGCATGTTCAAACCCAGCTCTGTTTTCACTTAATTTCTCAGCAAAAAGGTGAAATTGGCTTGATGCAGGCTTCTGGTTTGCAGCTTGGTGAGGATGGCAAAGCTCCTGGAGTCTGGGGAGAGGAAAAGTGTTCTGTAACCTTTTTCAGTCTTTAAACATTCTTTAATTCCTTGTTGGTGCATGGGTTTTGTTTACCATTCAGCTGTTGTCTTCTCATTCTTCCTGTGATGGTTTTTCCTGTCTTTTTCTCACCTGGGCTGTCTCTGTGGAGCCCTGCTGATTTTTTGTCATCACCCAGACCATACCAACATCACAGGACATGGTCTGTCTGAGGCTCTTCATGGGGTCTCTTCCTCAAGACACTCCCTTGCCATCCCTGTTCTCCCGTTTGGTGCTTTCCTGCCTGTCCCTTGGGGTTTGTGGCTCAGATTCCCTCCCCTTCCCCGCCTTCTGCCAAAACCAACAGCCCTGTCAGGCTCCTGGGGGTGTCTCGCCTCACCTTAGCTGCTGTTTTAGATTTTTAGCTGTTGAACTGCTGCCTTCTTGTGCTGCTCTGAGTGTTTCTGGAATGCTGTCCCAAGGGGACTCCACCTGGCACAGGCTTGGAGAGGTGGAAGGGTTTGACTTTCTGATTTCACGCACTTTGGGCTGCTTCACATTTCTCTTTGCTGCTTCTAAAAGCCAAGAGAATTACCATTAGAACTAAAGATTGTTGCCCATCTCTCCAGCAACCCCCAGACAATGAAGCTCTTTTTATTCTCAGATTGTCAGAAATTCCTTGGCAGAGGGGACCTGAAGTTTTCCATGTTTTTCCTCATGTCCCACCTGTGCTTTGCTGCTTGTATTTACTTCAGAACCTGCTTGTGTGGACTCACCTGGTGTTTTTGGATCTGCAGCAGATTTTGGGTTTTCAGAGCTGTGCCAACACCTTGGCCTGCAGGGTTGGTGCAGAAAGCAGAGATTGTGTTTAATTATTGCTCTGCCAGAAGTTTATACAGGTTTTTCCTGTGCCCTGTTCCTCTTCTTCCACCCTTTCAAAGTTGCAGGCACCCAGTCCTGCCTCACTTTGTGGAAAACATTGAGGAGCTCTGTTGCAGAGGGCGTGAGTCTGTCCTGTGCTTATTTATTTAGGGAGATTAAAGTCTAAGTTTTTCTTTTGTAATCCCTTTGAAGTATTTATCTTTTGAAGTCTGAATTTTCATTAACTGGAAGTGCACAACCCTCAAACTACACGCTGCCCTAGTTTCAAAGCTGTAATTTTATTTTTTGTAGAAAACATTTAAGAGAAATAAACAACAGGTCAGACCCACAGGGCTCCACATCGGATCCTATTTGGGATGTGTCTGTTTGTGTAATCCCTTGCGACTTTGGGGACTCCAAGGGGCTCTGCAGGCTCTCCCTAGGTTGGGATGTAGCCATGGGTTTTTGGGATCTCAGGGATGTTCCCCTCCTGAGTGCTCTGCCAGACAAGCAATGGTCTGTAGACGTTTCTTTCATTTTTTATATTTGTTTTCCCTCCCCTCTTATTTTCTGCCATTGAGGCAGCAGCACTCAGCTTTAAGGACAACGCTGTTGTGCTTTCCTGCCTCAGCTCTCATCCAAAGTATTCCATATGCACATGGCAGTGGGTACTTTCCTGAAGTTCATCTTTTTTGTTTGTTTGCCAGGGAGAAAAAAAAAAAATTGATGCTGACTAGAGTTTTGATATATATCTGCTGCTTTTGTTTGTGCAGTGTTATCAGTGTAAAAATGAATGCTTTCAGCCTGGAAAAAGTGGGTGGGAAACCTCTGACCCAACCTGGTTTCCAGAGTGGGGAATAACAATGTGTGGGGAAGAATAACCCTGCTGGCCATCCTCCACCCTCAAAATGAATCACCTGAGGCTGTTTTCTGGCTTTGGGGTGTCCCATTCCTGCCTTGAAATGAAATCTTGGATCTTGCAAGCTGAGATGCTTTGGGTTTGTGCCAGCAAAATGTGGAAAATGGTGCTCAGTGTGTGTGTGTGTGCATCTCAATTTCCTCCCGTGGGAGTGGCCAGAGCAAACAGCCCTCAGTAATAGCTTGTTATTAAACAGATGGGGATATTGACCCTCTTCCATTTCCATCTTCCACATTGGGGAAAGTGAAATTGCATTACTTTGACTTGGATGAGTTCAGTGTATTAATAACAAAATGTGTATGAAAACCAATGGAGAGTGCATTGCAAATCCCAAGAATTTAGATAATGATTTCAGCCCTGGCTGGGCCACAGAGATTTCTCTTCCATTTTTCTTTTCTTTGTGCACAGAACTGTAGAGTTTGCTCTGGAATAGGTTAATTTTTTAGAAAGCATTTAAGGAAAATCAGGATTTTCCAGTATAATTAGGGAAACGAGTGACAAGCAGCCTTACAAGCATATCAATAGGGCTAATTGATTATCAGGCATGTTCTCACCTAATTGGCAGAGGAAATTATTTGCTTAACAGGGTTTTAAGCATAATTAGATTGATACAAGTTTTAGTAGAGATAGAGATGTTGAATTTACAGAGATTCTTGATAAACAGTGATCCCAGGAGTCACCAACAAGAGGAAAAACACTTCTTTTAATATGGAAATCAGCAGAATCTGCCAAAGCTCTTTTTAAAATTAGTTGACATAAAAAATTAACCTCAAATACCCCTGTATTTTTTAATATTTATTTATATTGCAAGTAGGTGAATTTTGGGAGATGGGAGCCTGTGTGCTCAGGGCTTGCTTTGGTTTTGAGCCTCTCCAGGTGTGAGGGGAGCACTGCTTCTTCCCCTCGTCCTCCCCACAGTTTCTCCTCTCTGGAACCTCGTGGAAAGCCAAGCTTTTCCATTGGATGGGCCTTCCCAGCCGTGCCTTGATAGGTGGAGATCCTGTAGGTGTCTTCCACATCTGCATGGGTGTGGGGCTGATGGAGAAAATTGTGTGTGTGCCTCTTTCCAAATGCTCGGCTTTGCTCTGATGTCTCCTGAGATTTCAGGATTCCATGGGCTGGTGTGGGCCTGGCAGCGCTGGGCTCATGGCTGAATTCCCTGATCTTAGAGGGCTTCTCCAGCCTTAATGGTTCCATTATTGTTCACAAGTCTCCATTGAAGCATCCTTGGCTGTGCTTTGGGTTTTGTTTTGGATGTGCTGATCCAAACCCTCCTGAGCGATCTGTGGTGGGTTCTCAGAGCAGGCCTCTCCGTGGTGTGGCTGGAAGGGCAGCAGAGCTGCTTGGCTTTTAAAAACCACAGAACATCCTGAGCTGGAAAAGACCCACAGGGATCGCTTCCAACCCCTGGCCCTGCACAGACACCCCAATAATCCCACCCTGGGCATCCCTGGGAGCTCCTGAGCTCTGTGCCCATTCCCTGGGCAGTGCCAGCACCTCTGGGGATGAACCTTTCCCCAAATCCAGCCTGACCCTGCTCTGGCACAGCTCCAGCTGTTCCCTGGGTGCTGTCCCTGTCCCATTGAGCAGAGTTCAGTGCCTGCCCCTCCTCTTCCTCCCTGGGGAAGTTGTGCCTGCAGTGAGGCCTCTCCTCAGTCTGCCTGAAGGGGGATCAAAGGGGAGCAGCAAGCCTTGGGAAAGGCTGTTTAACCTGCTCCTCTGGAGCTGCATCCCCACTGTTTACTCCCCAACTGTTTACTTGGGCTGTTGCTCTTCCCCTCGCTAAGATGAGGGCTCTGAGATGCTTTAGTGATTGGTCTTGATTGCTGCCTTCCCTCTCCAGTCCAGGTTTCTCAGTATTGCCCTGAGACTACAGGGATGGAGCAGTTAACCCAGAGAGACAAAACTCAAAAATTTTTAGGCCAGATCTCCCCAGAGAGCTTCACTTTAAAATGTGCAACTCCAATTCTCCCTTTTTTTTTTTTTTTTTTTTTTTTTTTCCCTCCAAAGCTGTTTGGAAAGGAATAATGTGTAACCAATACCTCCACTTCAGTATCTCAGAAGTGCAGTGTGTGCTAATTAGGCATCCTGGAGCCTTTGGAAAATGCTCCCATTGTATTTCTAGATGGAATCTGCCCTGCTCCCTCTTTTTGGATAAGTGAGCTGGTTATTCAGCTCTGAGAAGCTCACAGCCATTGGCAGATGATGCATCTTGAAAGTCAAGGTTGAGAGCATGAGTGGGTTTGTGTTTTCTATTTTATTTCTTTCCCCCCTCCTCCCTCCCTCCCTCCTGGTGCACGTTGCTGGATTTGAATAATTAATGCCTGTTGTCTTGCTTCCTGTTTTCATTTCTGTATGTAATGCTAACCAGCAGTGGGCTGAATCATTCATGGGCTGCTCTCTGCCCCTCGGCAGCTGGAGATGGCATGGGAACAGTGAAACAGTGATTGGGAGGTGCTGCAGGCTTTGTGCTGCTCCCTGGACCCTGGTTCTGGCAGCAGGAGCAGTAAGTACTGAGCCCATGCTCTTGGCCAGGCCAGGCTCTCTGGGCAGATGGTATCAGTGTGGTTTCTCTCCCTGAGGCTCCTGTTACTGCTCAGGTGTCCGTGTGCATGGAGGGGAGGGTGGCTGCTGGGTGCTGTCCTTTCCCACCTGTTTTGGGCTTTGATGGAGCTGGTTGTGATGCTCATGGAGAAGAGGGAGTGGTTTTAGGCTTGTTGGTTGTGCCTCATGCAATTACACTGTGTTTAGGAGTGGATGTTTTAAAAACTCATCTTAGATTTTTTTTTGTCATGGTGCTTTTCCTGAGTTTTTGTGGAGTGCAGCCTGGAATTCTGGGCTCCTTTGCGATGAGGGTGGGAGCTTCACTCACAGAGCCTTGTGATCTCTCTTTTCCCTTGGGCACTGCCAGGGATCCAGGCACAGCCACAGCTCCTCTGGGCACCCTGTTCCACCCTCCCAGGGAAGGAATTCTCTCCTGGCAAAATGATCAAATGAAATTAAATTTAAAAAAAACAGTAAAAGCTTTTGTGGATGGAGCTGGCCTGTCTGCCCTCCTGTCTTGCATGAGTAAAGCAGGGAGAGTGGAAAGCAGGAGAGATGCTGTCCTTTGGAGAGGAATTAGTGCAGGATTACTTGGAACAGCCATAGCCTTCTCGGCTTTCAGGCTGGGAATAAGGGCTTTGGCTGGGGAGTTGTTAACAGGCTGTGAGTGGTTTTTACATCTTGCACAGAACCCTCAGCATCTCGTACATTGCTCCACACTTGGAATCTTCAGGGCAGAGAGCGAGGTTCAGCCCAAGAGCTTTAAGCCGCACCTCCAGTTTTGCACTTCCCCAGTGCCCCATGGTGACAGGTTTTGTGTGGAGGTAGAGGGGGATTTCCTGGGGGTGCTCTGGGAGCTGAGGATGGGCAGGCAGCTTGAGCAGGGGCTGAGCTGAGCTTTATGAACAGCAGGAGGAGAGGTGGAACGCAGGCACAGGGAGGTGACCCCGACACGAGGCCATGGAGGTGACACAGCAGCACGGGGGGACGTGAGCAGCAAACAGCTCTGCCAGGCTGGCTGTGCTGTCCCTCTGTCCTGCCTGTCGCCCCAGGGGACGAGCAGGGCCACGTGGGGAGCTGGGCTGGCCACACATGGACCTGTGGGTCATGCCCATGTTGTGTCAGCGCCCCGAGCAGCGCGGGGAGCTCTGCTGAAAGCACAAAGCTGCCTCTGTGTCTGGGGAGGGCACAGGGCTCTGGGGACAGCCTCGTGACAGCTCTGCAGCCACAACAGCCTCTGGGATGCTGAGTCCTGATTAAAGTGTCAGGGCAAGGCTGCCATGGGCTGTCAGCACGGAGTGTGAATGGACACAGACAGACAGGGGCTGGGAGGGGTGAGCTCTCTGTGTCCCTGCTGACATTTCCAGACTCCAGCATTGCCTGCAGCATCCCCTGGTGCATCAGCTGGAGTGACAAATACAGTCAGCCCTGCTTTTGGAGGCTTCTTTCCATGGGATGTGTCAAGGAAAAACTTTTAGGTGGCTGGTTTATCTCCCTAAGCCCAGCCATGCTTTGCTGATGCCAGTGAGGGTGTTGCTGCTCAGCTGTCACAGCTTTGCCCCAGACCTGAGCCCTGGGAATCCCACATGTCAGGAGGCAAAGTGTTTCCCCAGGAGAGGGTGGATTTACACACCCTGCACACAGCCCTGCTCTCTCAGGAAGGGGGCAAGCACTGTGCAGGCTCAGCTGCTGCCAAACCCCGCTGCCAGCCTGTGGTGATGCACACAGCAGCAGTGTGGGGCTGTGGGTGCCCACCTGGGCTGCAGGAAGCTGTGGGAAACCTGTGCTGTGGGACCAAGCACAGCATCCAGCTCTGCATCCTGGGAGTGCTTGAGAGGCTTATAAAGGGAGAGGGCAATATCTGTAGTACACATTTTGTGTATACACACTCTGTATTCCATGTTCTTGGGGCTGTCCAGAAGTTTGGTCCTTGCTGGATCCCTTCCAGCTCAGGACAGTCCCTGATTCTGTGATGCTCCTTCTGCAGGGAAGTGTTTATTCCTCATCTGGGACTGTTTTGCAGGCATCCATGGGATGCTGACACTAAACTGCTTTAGCTTGGCTCAGCCTCAGCTCTGTGGAGGTCTCTGAATTGATTTTCAGGTTGTTCTTGCAGAAGCTCTGTCTCTTTTCACTTCAGTCATTCGTAGGAACCCAATCACCTGGTGCAGATCCTCATCCTGCTGCTTTTGTCCTCACGTGGCTTTCCCTGATGTACACTTTGCTTTTGGTGGTGTGGGAGAAGCTGCAGGAGGAAACCAAACCTGCAAACTAATTAAACTTCTTGGTCTGGTTGAGTAACGAGTGGGAGATGTTGGCAGGGCTGGGAACAGATCTGATTCTCATCCCTGCTCTCAGCAGCCAGAGGACACGGTTAATTATTAAATTGCTTGTTAACGTATTGAAATATCGCCGGGGATTTTAATTTCCTTTTTTTTGTTGTTGTTGTTTCCTCTGCTTTGCCCCAGGGCGCTCCCAGGAGCTGATGGATTAGTGCCAGCAGGCTCAGGAGGGGCTGGAAGGAGCATGGTCAAACACCAACCCCTGCAGTACTACGAGCCCCAGCTATGTCTGTCCTGTCTGACCGGGATCTACGGCTGCCGCTGGAAACGGTACCAGCGGTCACATGATGACACCACCAAGGTGAGCAGGGACAGGGCTGCTGCCACCCCGTCCCTCTCCTGATGGCTTCTAGCTCTTGCTTGGAAGGATGAGAGATTTGGGTTTTTTTCTTCATTTATTGGCTTGGATGTTTGATGGGAGCTGTTGAGCATGGCAGGAGGCCATCCCCGTATGGTCGATGTAGAGATGGGCCCAGTGAGGTTGGTCATGGTGCCCAGGGGACTGAAAGTGCCCAAATCTGTTTACATTGTGCTAAAGGGGAACACTTTTCTTGTGGTTTTTTTACTCCTGCTGCTGCTTGCAGCACCTTTAGCTGGATATGTAAGTTCTGTGTTTCTGCAGAATCCCTGCATTCATGGTGTGGTTGCAGTGGGCATGGTGGTATTTGGCCCCAGGAAGGACTTGGTCATCTTGGAAGTCTTTTTCAACCTTTATGATTCTGTTCTTGATGGTGGTTTTTGGCCCCAGAAGCGACTTGGTGATCTTGGAGGTCTTTTTTAACCTTTATTATCATGTTCTTAAGTGTGACAATGAGTTTGTAGGTAGGGGAAAAGGGTGCGCAGAGCTGCCCCTGGATCCCTGGCAGTGCCCAAGGCCAGGCTGGACAGGGTTTGGAGCAGCCTGGGGCAGTGGGAGGTGTCCCTGCCCATGGCAGGGGTGGCACTGGATGATCTTTAAGGTCCCTTCCAGCCCAAACCCTTGTGGGGTTCAGTGAAAGGCAGCAGAAGGTGAGAGCAAGCTGGGGGTGAATGGGGAAGCTGTTGGAGGTGACTCTTCCCTCCCCTGGTAAAATACAGATTGTAGGAGCTCTGCCAGAGGAAATCCAGGCTCAACTTGCACCTCCCCTCTTTTTCTGGGCTGGGAGATGAGGTCTTGTGATGTGTTGATAAGGAAAAGTGTGAAAATTTTGCTGTCAAAAGCACCCTGTTACATCAGCTGGGTAAGGATTTTGTTTGACTGTTCTCCTGTACTCCCATGTTGCCTGAGATGTTTTTTTAAAGAGTGCTTACAAGTTAAATTTGGGTTTTTTTTCCTTCTTTAAATCCTGTTTCATCTGGAAGTGCTCCCAAGGGACCCTTTGGTTGCCTTTTGAATGCTTAATTTCTCTCTCCTATTGCTTGGCTCCTCTGTTCTGTTTTTAAGCCTATAACCAGGGATCTTCTTGGCTCTGGAGTGCTTTTCCTCTTGCAAAAGCAGCTGTGAAGGAGCAGACAGGGCTGTGTGGCAGATCCTGTGCCAGAAATGCTCCTGGTTGTGAATTGCAGCCATTGTTGGTGGTGCAGCTTGGCCAGGAGCAGCTCCCCTGTGATGGGAAAGTCACGCCTGGAGTTCGTGCAGCCTGAAAACAAATTTCCTTTTGCAAAGTAGGAATGTTGGTGCTGTTTTCCCTCTGCTGCCAGCTTGGTCTGGGTGACCACTTCAAGCCAGCAGAATATTGCAGTTCTTAGCTAAAAATTTACAGAGAAGTTGCCATGAATTTTTCAGCGAAATCTGCCTCTGCTTGTTGTTACCAAAAAATATCAGTGGCAGCTTTCCAAGTCTGCCAGGAATTTCCATTGGTTTTTGCTAGTGCTGGAAAGGAATTCATTGTGTTTAAAGGTAGCTGATCCAGGCTTTAAAATATGTCCAGTGTGAGCTGGTCTTTGTAAAGTCTTTGTGAGGCCTCTGCTTCCACTTTGGTAAAGTAGAGATGGAGACAGCAGCAGGAGTAGGAGAAGAAAGCCTAAAATGAGCTGCAGGCTGCATTACCTGCTTTCTTGTTAAAACATCAAACTCCCCAGAATAAAAGGCTTTCATCCAAATTTGGATCATGACCCAGCCTTGCCTCCATATCTTCAGCTGATGCCTGTGAGTGTTTGTTGTCTGAATAGTGCTGCACCTCAACAGCCAGAATCTTAATGATTCCTCTCTTTTTCCTTCAAATCTATGTACATCGAGCTTCCTACTCCACATTAAAAAATTACATGAAAATGAGAATTTTAATTGGACACCTGAGTTCTAGGGGTTTTTTTTGAGAGGCAGCTTGCTGGAATTGTCATTATCCTTTGCTTTTCTCTGACCTTTGAGAATGAAGGGAGGGGCTGGAGGCACACAACCAATATACTCTGATCTCCTTTTAAAATTTTGAACATTTGCAAAATTCCTTTTTTCTGTTGTGGGCCCTCAGCTTTAATGGCAAGATCCCCTTTCACTTTTTTTTTAATGTTTTTTTTAAGTGAAAGACACATGAAGGAGGAGAAACGGTCTTGCTGAGTTTCAGATCATTAAAATCTCTGTAGCTGGTGTGAGGAAGGAATTTCTGATCTAACCACAGCTTGTTCATCACATATTCAACCAAGGATATTATGAAGTCAGTGCATGGAAGCATTTTTTTTTTATTATTATTATTGCTTCCAAACCCCTGTTGTTTGTACACAGCAAATATCATCCTGGTGGATGATATTGGGAGGGGGGACAAAGATTTCCTCCCAAAGGAAACAGCAATGATAATTTTTTAATCTATCCAGCAAAAAGAAGCCACTTTTATTGACTGGCTGGGCTGAGCTATCAAACATGGTCTTTCTCTCCAACACAAATCTCCTAATCCTGTTCTTAATTGCAACTTGTCTGAACTGTGAGGATGTGGGAGGGGGAATATCCAATAAAGCCTCTCCCTGCCTTTATCTGCTGCTGCTCACGTAGCTGCAGATCTGTAAATGATATATCAACCCCTTCCTTCCTATGAATTGGGCAGTCCCTGTCAGGATTTATGCCCCTCAAGTGAAATGTGTGTGATTCCAGATAGTCCATTTGGTTAAATGCATCACATGACCTCCAGCTGAGGCTTCTGATGGCTTTTTGGGGTCCTTTTGTGCAGAGATAAGTGAGGAGCTGTGATCCATCAGCATAATGAATTGCAGGGCTGTGTCTGGGCTGTGTGTATTAATTCACTCTCTGGTGAAATGCTCTTGTAATTCCCGCTTGGCCAGAGCTGTGAAATGACCTGAACAGATGATCTAAGCCACGGGCTTTGCAGCTGGGACTTTGTCAGGGCTGATTCCCAAATGGCCAGAGGTCACCGGTCACAGAAATTGCTTGCTTTGCTGCAATCTGCAATTAGAGGATGGCTTCATTTGCCCTTCTCCGTGAGTTTTTCAATTTGTGAGGGTTTCAGCCCACGGGCCTGAAGGCACAGGAGCTCTTGAGGCAGAGGGGCTCTTTCAAGGTTGTTGGATTTGAGGCTGGGCACTGAAGCATTGGATGTGAGCAGTGACTCAGAGCTGAGTCCCCATGAATGGATGTGTCCAATCATGTTGGCTTGATGGGCTAAATGCAGGGAAATCCAGTCATTCCATTAAATATCAGTGTGTTTTTTCCTTATTGTTCCTGAAGGTGCCCCCCTCATTAGACGGGTCTGGACTAGATGATCTTTAAAGGTCCTTTTCAACCCAAACTATTTTATGATTCTGTTTTTTCCCCATGATGCTTGGAAATGAAAGGCTGTGTTTAGGGTTTTCCACATCACTTAAACATCCTGTAAAATTCACCTTTGAGCCCTTCACTTTACAGGGAGGCTGTGAGGTGGATGATTGTCAAGGGAAGCTGTGACAGCTGAGCCAGGCAGGAATTGCATTTGCTTTGTGTGGTGCCTTCAGCCCAGATTTGGCAGGGTGTCACTGGTTTTAACAGGGAATAGCACATTTTGGCCTTCATGAAGGACCAAAACCTCTCTTAGACGGGGCAAGATCCTGTGGAGGACTGGCAAGGAGCAGAGAGCTGCTCCAGCCTCAGGAACTGGGATTAACCTGCCAGGACCTCGCTTTTCTTTGATTTCCACACCCTCCTAGAAAGGTTGGGATGAACCAGCTTGTTCTGTGTCAAATATGTTCCCTATTTCAGCAGAGCTGCTTTGGAGGATGGGAAATCCCAAATCCTGGAAACCCCAAAAAGCCACAGGGTTGGAGCCTAATGTAGTGGTGCACCCCAAATATTGTCAGGGGAGGATGTGTGACTGATGCTGAATTTGTGGTGCAGAATGCCAGTGGGGGAGAGTCTGCAAAACCCATTGAGTGTGGGGCCTGGGCTGGGATTATGGGCTCAGACTGGTGATTAACAGGCCCTGGGATTTGTAAAGCTTTAGAGGTGTCAAAGGTTTTTCCTGCAAAGCATCTGCAAAACGTGGCTTTGGCTCTGAACAGCCAGCTCTGAACTGAGCTGCAGCTGGGAAAAGGGGGAGAAAAGGGGGCAAGGAGGGATTTTGGGGCCCTTGGAGCCAGCCACGTGTTTTTACAGGGATTTCTTCCCTGAGTACAGCAATGCTCCTCCACTCTAAGGTGCAGCCATTCTCATAAAATCCTGACTGGTTTGAATGTGCTCAATCAACTCCTGGTTTAACCCATAAGGGAAAGCCTTTCCAGGCTCTCCCTGAGAGTTCCCTGTACTGGTTTTGACTGGGTTACAGTTAATTTTCTGCACAGCAGCTGCTGTGGTGCCAGATTTTGGGCTTGTGAATGAAACAATCTTACACCAGTTGCTGGAGATTTTTTACACAGCATCAAGGTACAATATTTTCTGAATTCCCTCCAAGAAGGGGAAAAACTTGAGGTGTTTTTTCTGCTTGTTTTCCTAAACAAATGTTTTTTCTCTCAACTGTGTAGTTGTTGTTATAGTTAGACTTTTACTATTGAATTACATAACTCCCTTTTCCAAAGAGGCAGTGGGAACCTGTGATCCTGTTAATCCCAGGTTAATTAATTGTGTTGCTCTTTACTCAGACATTAAGTCCTTTCCCATGTGTGGAGCTATGAGTGTGAATTTTGAGGACAGAAAATGAGGAAAGTGAAATGGCATTGACATCATGGAAGTTTGACTTGTGGGAGTCTCCATGTCAGAAGTTCTCTCTCTGTTCTTGACAGAATAGTGAAAAATTGTGGCCCTTTTCCAGAGGAGCCTTGATTTTCCTCACCCAGAGGGAAGTGAATGTAACCTTGCTGCCCTGGAGCTGGGCTCCAGTGATTTACTTTACATTTGGGGTTGAATTT